CGGGAGATTAGGTGGGTGCGCGTCTCCGTCAGCCACAGAGAGCCGCCCGGTCCGCCCCACCCCGCCCCGCGGCCGCCGTGCAGCGGGGTGGCGTTAATGGCTCTACGCTTCCCTGTCATATCAATGGCTAATTGTCGGGGACTCGGAGGACAGCGCCCCGCCCGCCTCTCCGTCCTTGCGCTCCCCCCTTTCTTGGGGCAGCGTCGCCGTCGCTGCGCTGCGGCCGCGCTGGCGGGGCTGGCAGGCAGGCAGGCAGAGGCGGGCAGGCGCTCTGGTCTGGCGGGCTGGCAGGCGGGCCAGGAGGATCCACTTCACCGTTATTAATTGATTCCCCTGCCTCCGCTGCGGCGCGACCATTTGTCACCGGCGGGCGCGCTGCGCGGTGCGGGCGCTGGCGCTGTACAACCATCATTAAACGGGATCGTCCTCCTCGCCTCGTCCTCGTGCAGAAAGCGCCTCAGACTTAACTCTGCAGCGAGAAATACACAAGGACCGCGGGAGGTGAGGTGGTGGCATCGTTGCGGCCAAATCATACTTGTTTGTTGTTCTTGTTGCGCGCGGTCCCACGGTGCAGGTAGCGGGGGCTGGGCCGGGAAGAGAACCTGCCGACGTCGTCCCCAACCCCTCCTAGCACCACCTATCTCTCATCCTTAGTTTCCAAACTATACAAAAACCATAAATCAACGAAAAAGGGGAAAGACTGAAAAAATGTGTGTGTGGGAAGGGGGGTGTCATTATGCCCATGCGAACGAGCGGTCAGTGAGCTGGTTACATTTAGTCAGTTTCCCTCAATTTCTTGCCCCAGTGCAATTCACTTTGTCACGCTCAACTATCACTCAAAACACCATGGCCACTTTTGATTGTCAATTTTGGCATTCTTGTTGAGACCGCCAAGTTTGGTCTTCTTATTTGGCCACTTGGAAAGTCGCAAAGCGGCCGTCAAAATTTGACCGTCGAACAAAAACGCCAAAATTCAGCTAGAAGTCAAGCACGGAAGGCCAACATTTGTCCGCTATATCAGGAATAAGAATCCTCAAATGTTAGCAAGCAAAGTGGCCACGGCGTTTAGGAGTCGTGGGAGAAGGCCGTAGGTTTTCTTTACGCGCCTTTTTCTTCCAACGCCCCGTGTGTACAGTTTTCGGTTGCTCCAGGACGAGCTTCCCTCCTCGCACTTGGTGCGCTCCTCACGTAGCCGGCCGGAGTTGAGTTTTGTCTGTTTGGGTGTGTGATGGCGGTTATATCGCTTGCGCTTACTGGGCGTGGCGGGGCGGGGCGGGGAGTGGGCGGGGGTGTTCCGGGCGCGAGAGCGTGGTGGTGCGAAGCGCTGGTGTCCTCCAGCACACCACACCATCCGGGGAAACCCTTTCAGAAAGTATTCGCAGACGGCGGGGTGCGCAGCACAGGGATAGGTTGCCTGAGCAGAAAGAGGAAGGAAACAAAACGTCTGAATCTATGCAAACTA